CCCTCTCTCTCTCTCTCTCTCTCTCTCTCTGTTCTCAGGTGACAGGAAAGTTCCGAGGAGGAGTGAATCCGTTCACTCGGGATTGCTGTGGTAATGTGAAACACGTCTTATGCAGTCCACTTGCTCCTAGGTAAAGAAAAAACTGGCTCACACACACACACACACACACACACACACACACACACACACACACACATATATATTCATGTTTATAATCAGTGATAGTTACAAATACACACACATATCAGAAATGTGTGAAAGCGAGTCGTAACACCAGGCACGGTGTGCTTCCTCGGCCCCTGACAGCTGGTTCCTGGCACTTGACAGCTATCTTTCGCTCATTTTGGAACAGACGGTTGGGTGTTTCATTTCACTTGAATTTACATTAGACTGTGTTATTTTACATTTGTAAAACAGACAGGATTCAGTGAACATTACGCTTTGGCAAATGCTACAAAAGACCTATGAAGTACCAACCTCACGCTGTCTTTGAGCAAAATTAGAAAAGAATGGCAATTGCAGCTGATGCCCATATGGAGACATACATTAATTAATTAATCCGTTTCAAATAAATGGTGTTCTTTTGAACTTTCTAATAAGAATCTCAGTATGCACAAAATATGAAGCATCATAACTGTTTTCAACATTCAACATTTTGTTGGGCAGCAAATCAGCATTATATATGAAGGATCATGTGACACCCGCAGTAATGGTGGCTGAAACTTAACCATTGCCATCAGAGGAATAAATTGCATTGCATTTAAAAATATATTAACCCTCTGGTGTCTGAGGAGGCACTGAAGAAGTTTTTTTCAGTATCTTAAAAACATATGAATGGCTAAAGTCTAATTACACTTTAATTCGCACAAACTGGGCTACAGTAGTATGTGAGCAGCATGAATGTACATGTTTGTGTTCTTGAGAAAAGAACGTTTATGCATGGTTAGTGGAAAACTAAAAGTCACTGAAATAAGGCCCTAAAACACATACAGAACATTTGTTATCAGATACTGAATGCCCGTATGTGAGGATGAATATTTAGTGATTCACACGTGAGAGACAAAGGGCCTCCCATAATGAGGCATCAGTCAGTAATGTCTCTGTGAGGCAGGTAACAAAGAATGCGAGGAGTAAAGAAATTGGGGTTTGTATTTGTGTTTTATTTACAACACAGTATAATCAAAATACACAGTGAAGGTCAAAGACACATTATTGAGCACACTGATCTAAACACTGAGACTGAAACAGTAGCACACCGTTGTGTCATTGCTGAAACAGATCCTGTTCCAATGTTGAAACATGTAAACCATACCTGATAATTGACTGAAATAAGTTGAAATAAAAAAAAAGTTACACAGAAATATTTAAAAGAAACCTGAAAAAACAACTACATCATCAGTAGTCATGGAGGTTATTTTACCGTATTTTATACCATATTCAATGTAGTTGAATAGAAAACAGTGATTTTGAATTATAATGGTATAGCAGTTTTTACTGTTTTTAATCAAATAAATGCAGCCTTGGTGAGCATAAGAGTTTTTTCAAAAACATTAAAACTTCTTACTGATCCCAAATGTTTTTTAACAGTAATGTACTTCCAAGATAACCAATTTACCAGCTTATTAAACAAGAAAAATGTAGGGAATTACTTAATTTTATTCATCAGTTGTTGATTGGATTGTGAGTACTTAATAACTAAATGGAAGCAAGTCTGGAGATTGCAAGTATGTATGTGTGTGTATATATATATATATATATATATATATATTCAGTCCCTCCAGGATTTTGCAATTCTGCGATCGCTGAATTTAATAAATTTTCGCGAAAGCTCGCAAATTTTCGTAATTGCCGCAGATTTTCTGCAGATTTTGGGCTTAGACGTGTCCCGTGACGTCATTGGAACACGCATTCAGTCAAAGAAAGGTTTCTCAGTTCCAAAAATGGAATGAACAGCCTTGCGTTCTCATCGTGACCGATTAACAAGAGCTATATTGGACAAACGAACAGAAAGCGGAACGAATCCGCGCTGCTCGTTTATCTGCTCGGTATATCTGATCTCGATCACACGACACCGTTATACACAGCGCTGGGAGATACAGTGAAGAAAGCAGTTGAATTCACTGCAGAATCAATAACATCTCTGTGAAATCTCGTGAGAAGCATTCAAATTCGTCCCAGAATTCTGTTAAAGCTACAGATATCAGAACAAACGCCACTAACGTGGAAACCAGGAAAAACATTCAATAAACACAAATCACCATCATTCACCATGGGTTTAACATAGTGAAACTACAGGAACAACTTGTGGCAGAAATGGTTTTCGAGTGTTTTTAAATGCTTCACAAAACTTTTCCCAGCAATTCAAAGCTTTAAGTATTACCGAATTTGAAAGTTATTTTTAATGTGATGACATTATCTGTTCATCCTTCATAAATTGCCCCCATTTATAAAACTAAAAGTTTCATAATGTAGGAAAGCAAACACTTATTAAAAAAAAAAAAAAAAAAAGAAGACATTAAATTATCACTAGTAGATGGATGCAGAGAAGTACCTCTAGGCTTATTAGCCATTTCCACTCCCTAATATATATTTTTTGTATTTATTAAATTATATTTAGACATTATGAATGACAGTAATAAAAGTTAATTTGATCTGCATCTCAACTATCCAGACAGCACAAGTATATCCGTAAGACGTCTGCTAAAGATCTGGGAAACATCTGCTGGGTAATCTGATAAACGTCTCAGAATGCGTTCTAATAAATGTCTATTTGACATCTGACAGGAAACGTCTTAGAGATGTATTGCAGATGAGCACACACTCTAAAAATACATCTTGCATTTGTAAATGCTGACATCAAATAGACATCTCCGAGGTGTACAAGTGTGATTAGGGTGAGGTGCTGGTGCCACCTTCTGTAGAACTTAATGGCACTGGTGCTGGTGTCCTCAGATGTTGCTCTGGAGCCCTACAATGGCTCTCGAAGTCAGAAAAGTTATAACAATGTTAGAAGAATGTTGTCTGTGATATATTTTCGCTGCAAAACGATAAAAAATGCTGTAAATATCACTGCAGATTTTGAGAAAAGCCACAGCATCATTTTAGGCTGCAAAAATCAGAAAAAAGTCCTGCGAAATCCTGGAGGGACGGTATATTAGTGCTGCCAAACGATTAATCGCATACAAAATAAGTTTTTGTTTGCATAATATATGTGTGTGTTCTGTGCATATTAATTATGTACAGTATATATAAGTAAATACACACATGCGTGCATATATTTTGAAAATATTTACATGCATTTGCATGTCTATATTTATATTCATATAATTTATATTATAAATATATTTAATATATAAACATAATATATTTTTTTGAAATATATACATGCATGTGTGTGTAATAATAAATATACACAGCACACATGCATATATTATGTAAACAAAAACTTTTATTTTGGATGTGATTAATCGTGATTAATCATTTGATAGCACTAATATATAGATATATATATACCGTATATGTATGTGACCCTGGAGCACAAAAGCAGTGTTAAGCCGCTGGGGTATATTTGTAACAACAGCCAAAAATACATTGTATGGGTCAAAATTATCTTTTTTTTGTTTAATGCCAAAAATCATTAGGCTATTAAGTAAAGATCATGTTCCATGAAGATATTTTGTAAATTTCCTACCGTAAATATATCAAAACTTCAGTTTTGATTAGTAATATGCATTGCTAAAAACTTAATTTGGCCAAATTTGAAGGCAATTTTCTCAATATTTAGATTTTTTTGCACCCTCAGATTCCAGATTTTCAAATAGTTGCATCTCGGCCAAATATTGTCCTCCTATCCTAACAAAACATACATCAATGGAAAGCTTATTTATTTATTCAAAAATGGACCCTTATGACTGGTTTTGTGGTCCACGGTTACATAGTATATACAGTATATATATATATGTGTGTGTGTGTAAACTCAATGCTTCAAGAAGAAGATATGGTTTGAAATATAACAGCCTTTAAGCCTTTAACAATTACTGTGATACTTCTAAACAGCAGACAGAGGTGAAAAAAGAGGTTGTTTATCATAGTAGACAGTCTGGAGGGGTTTGAGAAGAAGAATATGGGTCCTTAGGAAGGTAGATTGTGTCCTGTCTTTGCCTGTTTTATGAGACTCTGAGCAGGAAAGCGTACAATACTGAAGATTTGAATCAGGTTATGAAACAATGGAGAGAGAAAGTGATTGCTGTATAAACACAGATTAGAGCCAAGGTTAATGTCTTGTTAAGACTAGTGAAGGCATCTTCAGAAACAATAGAGGACAACCTTTGTGAGGCCAAAGCAGAACAAAAGAAAGTTGCAGTAAACTTTTTTTCCACAAGACTATTTACATCATTCCTTAAATCAGAATTATAGGAATAGTTCACCCCCCCCCCCCCCCCCCCCCCCCCCAAAAAAAAAAAAATAATACAA